TGTGAATGACCAATAGAGGATTCGTCACTCTTAGATAGTAAGAGATTATGATCTACATTTTATCCAGTTAAGTTGATAATGAAATCCTTGGTCAATGTGAACTCATAAGTCGGAAAAGAGTTTTTGACGTACATTGACTTAACAGTGGGATAAAAGATATGATCGATAATTGAGATTGACATATATCCATATCTCATAATTGATCGAATCATATTGACGAAATGATGATAGTTTCACGATAAACGAACAAGTTTGGTTTTGTCATACTACGTGATATTTCCCGTCACATATATTGCCCTGATACAATGCTAGATGTCAATTTGGGTCAACGAAAGTGAATTAGTGATAAATTAAAAGGGGCGTTTTAATTTATCGATTTTGATTAGATCAAAATAATAATTCATGTCATTAGATATCGTGATCGGGAACCTAATGGGTCACACATAAAAGAGAATCAGAAGAATGAGATTTACCAATTAATTAATTGACAAGTGTTGGGTAATTAATTAACTTGTCAATTAATTAATTGGGTTGTTTATTAATAGGCCCGAATTAATTAATTGGATTAATTAATTCATGGACCAGATTTAATTAATTTGATTAATTAAATATTGGATCGAGTTAAGTTCAACAGATGGACCAAGCCCATTTGGACTTATATTAATAGGCTACTAGGGTTTGAAAATAGTATGGAATTTTTCATTATTTTTACTAGCACAAGAAAAGAAAACCCTAGCCGTCATTCTTGTTCTCTCTGTGGATCACCATTGGAGGCTGGACAATTGGACAGCTTGGATTGCAGATCGTGATCATTGGAGTTCAAGAAAAAGTAAAAGAGTTTGTGAAATTCATCAAATGTATCATTCTCATCACAGTTTCTATCTAAACACATTGCGGATCCTCGTTTGAGAATTGAAAATTGTTTTATTTCTTCTGTGCATGTTAAGTAAATTCCCAACATCCATTGCTAGTTTATTATATCGATTAAGTAATCAAAGTTGCTATCTACGTCAACACCAAATAGCATATTGACATACTTGTGGTACTATTAAAATATTACATAAATGAAAAGATTTAATTTGAACAATGAACATGGATTTACGTAACATACTGCATGATGTTACACAATATTTTCTTCATTATTTTTTAAACTTACCAATTATAATTTTTATTTATAAGAGAGAATTTTTTTTCCCCCCTTAAAAAAGCACCATCAAAATCTTGTGTGTTTTTTAGACCCCCGCCAAGATAGGTTGGATGGGGTTACGATTCTCGTGTTATGATATAAATGAAACAAAAACGAATACAAGGAAGGCGGCATAAACGTGACTTACAATCAAAAGTACATTAGTCGAAAGCAATAACTGAGTAGGTATATGTCAGGGACCAAGAATCATTGAATGAGAGTGATTGATTTTGTCAGTCATAATCATGTTAATTTCAGAATCAATGTGATTTCCTTTCAATAAATTATGCACATGTATTTTTTTTTCTTTTTTTCTTTTCTAAGAATAGGTTATTACATATTCCATCAAGAGCTATTCGACTATTTAATAGCTTGAGGTCATGAATAAAGATTATCCCACAATTATTATCACCAACCTCGAGTTGACTATGAGTCAGGGGTGGACCCAGCATCCAGGAAGGGGACGTGGCCGCCCGTGCTGGATCCACCTGAGCCTTCAATTCCACCGGGTGGTTGACAGTTGCAGAGAGGACAGGGACAGAGAAGACAGGAGGAAGGAAGAAAATAGACTGCTCTGGTAGGCCTTTTTTGTTTTTAGCTTTGGCCCATTTGTTTTGGGCTGAGAGATTTGAGCCTTTTAAAAAAAAAAAATGAGGCCCAATTAAATGAAATAATATTCATCTTCATCACATTAACTCGATGCTCTGACGACCCAGCCTTATTCCTGTTTTTTGTTTCAGTTCTTTTTTTGTTTTTATGTGTACACATTTATGAATTTGAAGAAAACAACAAGAATTAAGAAGATTAGCATTTCAATTTTCAGTTTTTCACGGCATGGGACTGTGATTCATTACTAAAGTTAGATGTCAATAGTTGAAACATCCGAATTCCTCTCTATGGTGATGTATTGAATCCATTCCGATGCTTGGCCAGGTTATATATATTCTGCGAAGGAGTGAGCATTTAGAAGAGAGAGACGAGCAAGGAAATGGGGTTCCCGTCTCTTGTTAGATACCAATATATGTTAGAGTGACAAAGTTTAATTAAGGTTGATAAATGATCTGTCTTCATAGTTTACTTATGATTATATAGACAGATTAGTAACTTCAAAAAAAAAAAAAAACTATTTCTGTTGATTTACTATCCATATTAACTTTTCCATTTTCTTGTTTTTGTTTTCATTTAATTAACACTAGTTACTTATTGGTTTCCTAAATCGTACTTATAAGTCTACTAACTATTGAATTGTTAATTCATTAGGCTAAAGCATGTAATAAATGAATGAATGAATTGTACAATTGATGGCAAATTTCACTGAAGTTTCTATAGGGGATGTGCCATGGTATACTGCTCAGTATTAATTCCCAGAGAGCATGTTGTGAACTTATTTCTCAATACAACAAAATGAACATATGTTGGATTGTGTTGTTCATTTTTCAGTTTTTGTGGTACACTAATCAGTAAATATTTCCATTTTGAAACTTGTTGAATGACAAAGAAATTTTTCAAAAATTGAGAATGAGGCAATATTGCAACGTTTGCAAAGCATAAAACCCCGTAGAATGTAGTTCTCTAAAATTACAGTTACATAGTAGGTTGTATCGCGTATTTCTTTAATATTTTAGGTTGTATTGAATTATGTTTTTATATATATATATATATATATAATATTTTAGTACATTTACATATATATTGAATAGTTTTTGAAGGATAATGAAGCTTTTATAACTTCTTAATCTCATTTTGACCATCATTCCTTCAACAATAGGATGAGTGGTAGTTGGTAGTTTATCATTTCATTTCAAGTCAAGTTACATTACTTTATAATTTATCCTTGTACTAGTTGATTGGATAGAACACTATGCAAGAGGTATGGTTTGTAACTTATATTATTACCCTCATTTTGCTCAATCAATGTAGACGGTTCCTCCTAGTTTCGTCTTCTTCTTTGCTCCAATAGATGGTATCAGAGCTTTAAAAAATCAAGATCCGTTCAAACAAAGGGAGAAAGAAGAAGCAAAAAAAACTGGTAAACAAAATGTCTGGTTCAAGCTCTTCATCTTTGCCTCTACCTACTGCTTTCAATGGTGAGAACTATGATTTCTAGTCAGTTAAAATGAAAGATTTCTTGATGGCTCATGACTTATGGGAAGTGATTGAGAAAGGTTATGACAAACCAGAGGAAGATGTAAACTACACAGCTGCTCAATTGAAACAGCAGAAGGATCAGTCCATGAAGAATATGAAAGCTTTGTCTTTTCTATTTTCAGCCGTCTCAGAGGAGATATTTCCCAGAATAGTAGTTGCAACAACAGCCAACGAAGCTTGGGAAAAGCTTGAGGAAGAGTTTAAAGGCTCAGAAAAAATCAGGGCAGTGAGACTTCAATCCTTGGTTAGAGAGTTCGAAAACCTGAAGATGAAAGAAACAGAGAAAATCAAGGATTACACCTCAAGAGTGGTTGATATTGTAAATCAAATGAAGCTAAATGGTGATAAGATTACAGACAAGAGAGTCGTTTAAAAAGTTCTGATTACTTTACCTGAAAAATATGATGCTGTCACTACAACCATTGAACATACTAAAGACCTGTCAAGCTTTACCTTGACTGAGCTTACAGGTGCTTTATTGGCGTTTGAACAAAGGCTGGCATCAAGGAATGAAAAGTCAGTGGAAGGAGCATTTGCAACCAAGCACAGACAGCAATATCCCAGGAGAAATTCTGATAGGAGGCAATTTGATTTAAGGAAAAAGAGAGAAGGAAATAGTAGCAAACAGGGGATGAGTAAAGATCGAGATTCATATCCTCAATGTGGTGTTTGTGGCAAAACAAATCACCTGGAAAAGTATTGTTGGAAAGCATATAAGTGCGAAGTGTGCAATAAGGTTGGACATCCTGAAAAGTACTGTCATGATAATCGCCAAAATAACAATCCAACTCCTCATCAGCGTAGACACCAGAATCAGCAAGCTACCTTAGCTTCTGAGAAGAAGGCTGAAGATCATTTATTCTTGGCATTTCATATGACAAAAGAAAAGGAGGAAGACTCTTGGTTCATTGACAGTACCTGCACCAACCATATGAACAGCAAAGAGGAGATTTTCTGCAGTCTAAATTCAGATTGTAAAGCATCAATTAAGATGGGAAATGGTG